CTATAAAATCAGTATATTTCAAGATCTGACTGAGCCTTTGATCCCTGCACAGTGAGATATATTAAATCTAGTTTTAATATCTCAATATTCAATAGATTCTGCAAGGGATTGAGAACAGCAACACTAAATTTCTATTGAATTTGAGAATTAACTCTATATTGATATAATCATTGACAAAGTCTTCTATTTTAAGATATAAATAACCAGTTTCTCTACATCTCACTGACAATATTTATATTATTATATAGAAACAGACTTATATTCTCTATAATATCAAGACTCTGAAGAGGGAAAGTCTTGATAGAGAGTATATAGTAGTGTATATCTTAGCAGTTTCTATCTCATTCTTCTGCAGCAGTTAATGCAAAAAAAAAAAGATCTTAGAAATAGTTTTTTACTTCTCTTGAAAAAGTAAGGTGTTTTTCTCTGAGTGTTATACAATATTCTTACAAAGAATTAAAAACAGAGCTGTGTTCTGTCATAATTTCATATTCTTTTAAGTAAGGATTACTTTTTCAGTGGCTGAAGAGCTTTCATTAATACTTAAATTTCTTGATTGAAATGAAAATAATTCTTCAAAGAAAATGCCTTCTCAACTGTAGACTATACTCACTGATTAAAAATCTATTTTCTTCTTTAAATGTTGAAAAAGTTGATCATGAGAAGACAACTCTCTGAAGAGAAAAGCGTGAATCTCTTATAAACTTGCAAATAAGTGAACTATCTAAGAAGAAAGAATATGAACAGTATTTGAAGAGAATTTCTACAATTAATATAGCAGACTCTATTCTGATTTATTCAGATGACTTCAAAAATGAGAATTTGAATAGATTAGACACAGGCATTGCTTATACTGAAGATAGTATCAATTTTATCTCAGATTTCTGAAATTTAGGCTGTGAATCTGAAGTCTTTGATACTGAACTATTTGCAATATTGAAAGCTTTCAAACTCATTGAAATAAAATCTCATGAAAGAGGAAATAGCTTGAAAGAGGCATGAATATTCTCTGATAGTCAAGCTGCTTTAAAAAGACTTAGAAATAGTCAGATTCATAATAATCAAATGAATCTTGAACTGATCTTAAACTCTGTTTTGAAAATTCAAAAGAGAAGAATATTAAAACTGATAATTCATCTGCACTGAGTTCCTGCTCATATGAATATTCATGACAATGAATTAGCTGATTCAGCTGCAAAAAAGAGTTCAGAATTAAGCAGATCTATTCAAAAAATTATGTCCTGGTCTTTTATAAGAAGAAAAATAAAAGAATCTTATTTAGACAAGTGAAATGAAAGCGGGCAGAAACAAAAGAAGAGTATACATTATTCAAGATTTGAAACAAAACTCAAGTGAAAATCTTGTTCAATTAAATGTAAAAAGAAAATATTCTCATCTATAATACAGCTGAAACTAGAACATGGCTATTTCAAATCTTATATGCAAAGATGTAAGAAATCCCGCTCCTCGCGGATTCTTTACCCCTATTCCTATCTCTCGCGTAATCAATAGGGTTAGCAGCCCTTGGCTACACACAACTATATAGACTGAAGTTTGCAAATACTATTCATAACTCAGCTTGAATACTATTATATATTTGACTTCTACATTTTATCTTTCTACTGTGAATACTTCTAGTAGTTAACAGTACATATTATATCAAGCTGCAAACACCTGAATAATCATCTATAAGCACTTATTCTTACATTTCAAGCTCAGTCAGTCAGCAACTGTCTGTTATGACTGAAAGAACTAGAAACTTATATACTTCAATCTCTGTGAACTCTACTGCAGACACTCAGAAGCAGTCACTCAAATCATGAATAATCTCTATGAAAGAAGTCTTAGAGAACTTATTAATTACTTACAGAACATCATTCTCTGCATCTGTGATAGAGAAACTCTTTAAACTCATAAATAAATTAATCTCAGTGAAGTACATTCTTGAGCATCTTCTACAGAATCAAGTTATTTTTCTACAAGAAATGTGTACTGTCTGTAAACACTCTTGAACTTAGTCTCTAGACATAATCTTCAGCAATACTCACAAACTGAAAAGAAACTTTCTTAAGTTATAATTACTTAAGACTACTTATCAAACTACAATTTATAAAAGCTTTTACAAGTTTATATTTGAAATTGACTTACAAGCTCAGCTGTGTGATATAAAAGATAAAGAAGCTGTTATCTATATAATGACAGATCTCTACTACACTGAAGTCAAGAACTGACTGAATTATCTAGAGAATGATTATAAGAGATTCTACTGATCTGTTCTCAAGATCTATTTAAAGAATAAGTTGAGAGACTCTGTAAGTAAGACAGAGAACATCTGAATTATAATCATTAATATTAGAAAAAGAGGTGAGAAATCTGATGAAGACTACTCACAGTACTTTATGAAATTGTGATATGAATTAAGATCTGTGATAATAGAACTCTGAAACAAGAGCTGAATAATAATATTTATAAAGAAACTGAATAAAGATATGCAGAATAAGCTCATTGAGTAAGATTTTAAGCTCTTAACTTTAAAGAAACTGATAACTCTCATTCACTGCTTATAAATAACTGTGAGAGTCACAGATCTACAGAGAGTGAATCACTGACTGACTCTGTAAGAATCAGAATAACAGAGAACAGATTTGTCAGAGAAAGATGATAAGATATAGAGAGATTTATGTCTGACTGCTAAGTAGAGAGAGAGAGCTTTATAAGCTTCTGTGAACAGAGTGTATAATAGAGAGATTAAGAAAAAGAGACTCTGCTTTCTCTGTTCTAAATCAGAACATCTTCATATAAACTGTCTGAATAAATTAAAATAGAAATTTAAGAAGTTATGAACAGAGTCAGTAACAGTCTTCTTAAGAGTCTTGAAGCTGATACCTGAATCTGTTACTTCTCTGATGAAAATGCTTGCTTATGAGAAGAGACTACACTGTGATACTACTGTCTCATAAGCATGAGAAGTATTAATGAACTCAGAATCCCAGGTCACTGTAGTGTCTCTAAAGCTCACAGAGTAAATGAACTGAATGATGAAAACTAAGAATCTGCTCTTATAATAAGCAGAATATAAGAACTCAGATCTGATAGTTGAGAGACTTATAAGAATCATCTTTGAATTACAAGATCTCTCTGAAATCTGAAGAAGATTTGCAGAAACAGTGATTATCACAGACATCACAGATGACATGTACTTGAAACTTGTATAACTTTAAAGACATAATTCATACATAACTGTCTGCAAGTCAGGTTTATACTTCTGATTAGTGTTAACAGACTTACTTACAGAGATAGAATCAGTTGATACTACAGAGTTAATTAGAGAAGACAAGCTCATCTATATAATAACTTTGTAAATGTCTGAGAATCTTGCAGTCATGAAAACTGAGCTTCAGATATCAGAGAAATACTGAGATCTCACAGAGATATTCAGCTCAGTAAAGACAGCTGAGCTTTCTTCTCACTGTGAGAAGAATCTGATAATAGATTTAATAGAAGAGTAGAAACTCTTCTGAGAATCAATCTATAAGCTCTCTTACTATAAGACAGAGGTCTTACAGATCTATGTAAAGAAGAATCTGAAGAATGACTTTATCTGATCTTCACAGATCTTCACAGAAGCCTCTGTGATATTCATGAAAAAGAAGAATAAAGATCTCAGATTATGTGTAGACTACTGTAACCTGAACTTCAAGATAATAAAGAGTCACTATTCTCTATCTCTGATTGAGAATGTAATCAACTGTCTCACAGAAGCTGTTATATTCATATAACTGAATGTAATTAATGTATATACATGAAAGACTGTCTTTAGAACTGCACTGAAATTATTTAAATATCTAGTGATATCTTTTAGTCTGACTAATATCTCTGTGATATTTCAGTCTTTTATTAATAAAATACTTCATGTACATCTGAATATCTTCATGATAATATATCTGAATAATGTGATGATGTACTTTATAAAGAAGAAAGAACACACTGAGCATGTATGAAGTATATTAAAGATCTTAGATGAGACAGAACTGTATATTAAGCTTATAAAGTGCAACTTCAGTATTTGTTAGATTAATTTTCTAAAATATGTAATTACTGTAGATAATATTCAGATGAAATCTTCATAAGTTAAGACTATTCTATTATAACTGAAGTTAACTAGTATTTATGTGGTTCGGAAGAACGTACGACCGTCGGATAATACCGCGGCCGCTTCCGAACTACTAGCGTACACGTATGAGTGTAAAGGGGCCATAGCAGCCGCTAATTAAATTAGTGTATGAGATTCAATATATAAGAAGCCGGTGTACGCCTGTAATCATACACTGGCTTAAGCAACCTTTGAATCACATCTGATAGCATGTCTAAAAACCAGTGAGAAGTGCAGGCTCCTCCAGGGCGTGATAATTTCATCTATGAAGTGATTCATAGTTATCATGTCAGTGTGATTCTAGAATGTCTCAAAAGATAGTGTACAAAGAGCAGTGAGTGAAAGAGCATCTAATTGATGCTGCTGCTTCACTTGTTGAGGGAAAACTCCACACCCAGGCGAATGCCATGTATGCAAATGAATGAAGTGTGAGAAAAGAGATAAGAGTGATGAACCAGATTCAAAGAAGTCTGCTCCCTACTCAAAAGAAGGATAAAAGAGAGAGTGATCATCACCGGAGTTGTATAATAATAACAGAAATCATATAATGATATAGTGATATAATGATAGACATCATACAATCAACCAGAAATCAATCACTGAAATGAATATCTCTTCTAGCTGATATGAACAACATTCTTCTCTGCTACCTGAATCAGAAGATATACAGAACCTCTCAGAGAGTTTACTTAAAGCAGTAAGAAAAGCAGCTGAGACTGCTGAACCAGAATTGAAGCTTCATACATGTATGAGGATTCTAAATGAGATTGAGGCCTTGCATACACAGTGGCAGGCTGAGACAGAAGTCAAATAACAATTGACATTCACTGTGAATCAAGCATTCACTATGAAGAGCTTCACTGATGCAATCATCATCATCAATAAGAATAGAGAAAACCAGATCTTAGGCCTGCAGCAGAAGATTGAATGTTTACACAGACAGGTGACTACACTGAACCTGGAGGTTCCATCACAATTGTTCATGACCTCTTCAGAAGTGTACACACCATTGAAGACTGCTGCGCAGGATGAGAATCTGAGCATAAAATATATCAAGCTGAGAGATCTGCTGGAGTCATCAAGCTTCAATGACAACTGAAAAAATGATGCTGCAATCAGCTGGCTAAGTCAGATATGATCATATTATCAGATTGAATGTGAACTCACAGACAGACAGTCAATGAAATTTCAACAAGTCTTAAGATCTGCCATGTTCCTACATGGAAAAGCGAAGTCATTATGAATGACTGATGAAAAGATGAATCTCACAGACTCAGAGCAATATTCATTTCTACAAACATGAAATGAGTTTTTCAAATGAATCTTGCACAACTTTGAGAAAGTGAATACATGAGATAAGTGTTACAAACACTTCACTGAGTGTAGATAAGTGAGCAATCTTACATCATACTTCACACACTTCAGTTTACACTATCTTACATTGAATGAAGAGCTTTTAATATCTTTCTGTTTACAGATCTTCATTCATGATCTTACACTCAAGTTGAGAGCAGAATGAAAATGCTTAACCTCACAATCAGGCACAGTGAAAGAAGCATATAACATTCTCATTGTACAGGAACAAGTGAGTCAATTGTGATAGAAAATACTGCAATTGAGTATGCCTCAGTAGAGAACAGATAATCAGACTTCTATGACACAAGTCATACACTCAGATGCGATGAATCTAGATCTGAATATCATTGCTAAAGCACTGAATCCTCTGAAAAAGAGATCCTCTGAGTGAAAACCTTGATATTGTGAGCATTGAGCTTGTTTCAACTGTGAATGTCAAAATCATGATGTAAAAGATTGCACTCAGCATGCACAGTCAAAAAACTAGCAGAATCAGTGAGCTCAGAGATACTCACTGATATTCTATGAAAAGTCTTCAAAGTGAAAGAGATGTCTGTGTTAGATGACTCTCTGAATTCTGTGAATGCAAAGAAGAAGCAGGCTTCTGACTGAGATGTGAGTGAGAATGAAGTGAACACTCATCTCAATGCCTTGAGGCCTGAAATGTTAATGTATAAGAGGCACTTGAATAAGAATCAAGAGATGGCTGTAAAAGTGTTAGCAGACACAGAAGCTTCAATACAATATATTAGTGATCATATAATCTGAAGATTGAAAAAGGTCTGCTGAGTGAAGAATTCTCAACACATAAGATTATCTGATAACTGATATTTGATATCACCTGTAAAAGTAAGAGTTCTCTTACACTTTGAAGAATGATCTTGCTATATTTGAGTGTGAGAGCTGCAGAATGTGAAATACAATCTTATTCTTGAACTTGATTGATTTCAAAGGTTCAATTCACAGATTCAATGATGTACATGCCATATGCAGTTGACTGATAGGAAGAAAATGATTCATATGATCCTACCAACTGATATGAGAAGAACATTCCACACCTCTGATATAGAAGGGTTAAATCTGCTTATGCATCAATAAGCAAAGAGAATGATTTACAAGATCTCATCTGAAAGCATTCTGTATGTCATACAGAACCCAGAAGTGGAGGAAACCAAGATAAAAGATATGCAGGAGGATAAGTGTATGAAGGAGCTTCTGAAGAAGCATGAGAAGGTCTTTCAAACAGATCTTTCACCAGAATTGCCGCCGGAATGAGGATTTGTACATGAGATTGACATGAGGGATGCAAAACCAGTCAACCAGAATGCATATTCTCTGTCACAAATGCATCTCAAAGAACAGAAGCATTAGATCACAGACCTTCTAGAATATGGTCTCATATAACTCTCATCAAGCGTGTGAGGCTTTCCAGTTCTATTCATGAAAAAGACAGATGAAGAGTGACAGATGTGTATCAATTATCAAGCACTTAACAAGCTAATAATCAAGAATGAATATTCACTGTCATAGATTCAACAACAGTTGAATACAGTTGAAAACATCTGATATCTATCAAAGATTGATCTTCTCTCAGAATACTGGCAGATTTGTGTAGATGAACTGTCAGTTCTGTGAACTGTGTTTAATATGCAATGAAAGAAGTTTGAATTCCTAGCAATGTCATTCAGTCTGACAAATGTGCCTGTCATCTTTCAAATGATGATAAATATAATCCTTCATAAACAGAATGAAACCTCATACCTTGTATATCTCAATGACATTCTAGTCTTTTCAAACTCATATAACAAATATCTGAAGCATCTTGATAAAGTGCTTACAACTCTGACAGAGTATAAGCTCTACATCAAATCAATCAAGTGTGTGTTTAAAACAGAAGAGTTGGAGTTCATAAGACATGTAGTGAGTGATAACTGTATACACCTCATTCTGGAGAAATTGAATGTCATAGTGAATTGACTGTGGCTGAGAAATATACATCATGTACAACAGTTCCTTAAATTGATCTCATACTACTGCAGATTTATCAAGGATTTCACATGAATATCTGCATCACTCTCAGATCTCTTAAGAGAAATGAATGCAAATCTGTGAAAGAAGAAGTTTCATTCAATCATCTGAAATGCTGTGTGTGAAGAGGCTTTTCTCACACTGAGAAAATGTGTAATAATATTCTCAGTGCTTATTCAACCAGATCATGATAAATCTTTCTACATTGAGATGAATGCATCTGAATGAGCTATCAGAGGCACTCTTCTACAGATGGGCAAGAACAGCAAGCTGCATCTGGTGATGTACAATGATAGGAAACTATCAGGCGCTGAGCTCAATTACCCAGTGCATGAAAAGGAATTGCTAGTGATCAAGCACATGCTGATGTTGTGAGATAGATATATTAACAACAGGTATACAATAATGATGATCACAGATCATAAAAGCCTTGTCTATCTACAATCAATGATAAAATCTTTCAAATGCTTAGCACATTGAATCTCAGAGTTTCAAGTGTATGATCTTCATATCAAATACTGAAAGAGATCAGACACAGTGATGCTGAATATAATCAGTTACAGACCTGATTTCATGAGTGAGAGTTCTGCAAACCAGGTACAAGAAATGTTTGTGTTAAACACACTGAGAAGATGCAAGGAATCAGAATGAGTGAATGTCATGATCTCTTGCTTAAAGAATGACAAGATGTTGAATGACAAGTGTCTCATGAGAGTAGTAGAAGAGATGCTTCTGAACTTCAAGCTGAGGAAATTGAGAAATGAAAATGATGTTGTGCTTTACCACAATCTAGAATACACAGAAGCTTCCTATCTAGAATCTTCATTTAGACACAACTTGATAGCTCACATGCACAAGAAATTCAGTCACTTAGAAAGCTCTGAACTCATGAGTGTACTCAAATCAAGAGCATACTGGTCAAGCATGGCTGAGGACATTCAGATGTATGCTCATGAGTGCCTGAATTGCCAGGTCACAAAAGAATCTAAGAAAGGGTTAGAATGTGAGAAAGCACAATATCAGGTAGAGTGTATGATACAACTGTTCAAACAATGAGGGATGAATCTCATAGACATATTACTGTGAATATTAAATGGAAATTAATGAATAATCACTGCTATTGATTATACTACTGACTGGCCAGTTGTGAGAGCAGTTTCAGAGATGATAGAGAAGATGATGATGAAGTTTCTATATGATGAGATCTATGTCAACTATGAAATACTGTGTAAGATTCTAACTGATAACAGTGCAAATCTCATAGAAGAAGTGATGAGGCATTTCATGAGCCAGTTACAGACAAGATATTGTAGAACAATGTCATATCACTCACAGACAAACAGGAAGATGAAATACTTGAATGAAATCTTGAGCAACATGCTGATGAAATATCTAGTGAGTAAGTCTACAAGACTATGAGATGAATATCTCAGACAGGTGCTATTGACCATGCAGATTCAACAGTATACAGTCTTCAAGTGTTCATCATTCTATCTGTTGTATGAATTGCATCCGCGCATCCCAGAGAATGTTTTGAAAAAGGTGAGAAAGAGAGCAGTTGCAGACACAGTAGAAACAGCAGTTGCAGACATAACAGTCACAGATGTGAAACCAAGATTGAAAGAGATCAGCCACACACATGCAAAAGCTAATAAGTTACTCCTGAACTGAGCAATTCAATTAAAAAGAATATGAGACTCACTTGTTAAGGAATCAAGTCTCAAGATAAGAATATGAGTTCTCATATACAATGAGAGTTCTGAGAAGTTCCAACCTAGGTGATTTGAGTCATATAAAATACTCAAATCACATTCTCTGAGAATGTATGCATTGAAAGAACCAGAGAGACAGGTCTTATGCAACTTAATCAATGATTCATAACTTATAAAAGCAAAGATGTAAGACCTGAGTGAATTATAATTATTCACAGCACTATTGTCAGTATTGAAAAAGAAGAGACTTATAATTGAAAAGTCTCACAAAGTAAGAGAAATCATAGACACTTATAAATCAGATAATCTCACTTATTTCAATCTTTTCACAATTACAAGGAAAGAATGAGAAGAAATGAAGAAATCAGATGAATACTACACTTCAATAAGTGATGAGACTGTAGCTGATTGTATAATAACACACTGCAGACAGTGAGCATAACATAGTAAAGAGCAGTCTCAAAGCAGCAGACTTACACATGAGTCAGGTCACAGAAGAAAAAGGAATTCAGAGTTGAATTTGACTGTTTATACCAGTTCAATTGCAGAGATCACAGAGGATGAACTATCTGAAATATTCACAGATGTATGAGATCAAGTTATCTTGACCTCTGAAGACACTCAGAGATCAGATGAGATTAGTTTTGATGAGCTGTTTACTGTAGTGATCTGAGCAGGTGAAGAGAGACAGTATAATATATGAGACAGAATCATAAAAAGTTAGAAGCTGCTGAACCTAGTCACTGAACACTATATCATATAGAGATTATGTAAGAGTAGTGACTAGCAGATAGAGAAAAAGTGTAAGAAAAGAGATGATAAATTGATCATCAACTGTAAGAGTTGACTGCAAAAGACAAATGTTATTATATATACTTCATTTATTTTCATATGTCACATCTTTAATCTATTTCCAACATCACATCATCTGAAAAACATCAAAAATAAAGGAAATCTCAAAACTCAAGATCTGTAAGGAATTTGAGAGTTGCAAATCACTCTT